TCTTGGCTTCGACAACACTAGGAAATTAAGGGCATATGATTAGGGGGAGGGGCATATGTTTTGGGGGGGCAGTGATATGTCCATTCCCTGCCTGTGCCACTCCTAAGCGCCTGCTCCCTGAGCCCCCACTCACTGCCAAGCCACAGCCCCCTGCCCCCCCAGACCTGCCGGTGCCCTGTACTCTGGACCTGCACTCCCCTGCCCTCCAATGCTGCCAGTGCCCCTTACTCTGGACCTACATCCCCTGCCCCTCAGCCCCGCTGTTGTCCTGCACTCCCAATCTGCAGACCCCTCCTCCCCAGCCCCACTGGTGCTCCTCACTTCTGCAAACCCCTGCCCCACCCCCAGCTCTGCTGCCCAAGCAGCACCCATGAGCATGTGTACACACACACACACACACACACACACACACACAGAGTCTCTTTACCTGGCTTGCTGGGGCCCGTGCTGGGAGCACGTGACTCCCAACAGCCAATCACCTTGCCTGCTGCTCCCAACCAGCCAGCTCAGGAGAGCAGAGGAAGAGCGAAAAACCTGGACATTTGCTCTTATTTTAAAAACCCACCCAGATTCAGGCACAGGGGGCCAAAAAGGGGACATGGGACATATGGTAACCCTAATACAACAATAATGTATCACATGCAGCAGCGTTGTCACATCTTAAATGTGGAATTATCATATTGGAAGCCATGAACAATGCATGCCCCCAGAGGCTGGGGGGGCACGGCGGCAATGGGAGCACGGCAGCAGTAAGCTGGAGCTCCCACAGACACTGCGAGCAGAGTGGGTGGTGGAAGGAGGGAGTGGCGAGCACTGACCAGGAGTTGGCGACCACCAGCAGCGAGCAGTGACCACCCACAGGTGCTGCTGACAGTGTTGGCACTGCCTTTTTGTAGGGGGTGCATCGCCACGCTCAGGGGGTGTACATGCACCCGTGCACACCCTCTATGCGTTACCTCTGCTGAAAGCTCAAAATCATCATATTTGCTGAAAAACTCTTAGGCTTTAAAATATGCAAATAAGCATGCAAATAAGTCTTATTTACTTCACATTGCTCAGTGTAACAGGCCAGTGAGTGAGAACTGGGCCATCAAACTTGAAACATTTCTTTGTTTGGAGGCAGGCAGCCATTGGAAAACGCTGACAGCAGGCCTGAAGGTCAGTTGAGACTCCCCAGAGTGACTGGGTTTTGCACGTGCCGCCTCAAAAAGTAGTCGTACATTTCGGACGCTTTTGTTATTATTGAACATACATCGCACAACGGTTGAAGCTGTCGTACAAATAGGACGACGGTGATTCAGAAAGCGGCGCCGCGTGGGAGATGCACGCTGACGCTTACAAGCACCGCGCCCCACAAGGGGGGAAGGCACCGCCCCCGCGCGCCTAGGGGACGGCCAATCATTAGCTCCCCCTTCCCACAGCAGCCACGTCAACAAAACAGAGTAGACTGACTCACACACTCGCCCCGCCCCATCCTCCTTGCCCCGGCGCTCCCCTCCATTCACCACCCTCTACGCTTGCCGCTAAGCGCTCACATTCACCGCCCCCCCCGCAAGCGGATGCGCGACGGTAGGACAGACGCGTCAACAGACACTACTGCGCATGCTCGGATCCGTGGCGCAGGCTCTGTAGCGGCGGCCGCAATGGTTTACATTTCCAACGGTGAGAGCGGGGATCGGGCTGGGGGCGTGTGGCGCTGCCGGGAGTGGCCGGTGCGACGGCGGGGAGGGGCGCTTGCCGCGTAGAGCCGCCAGTGCAGGGGCACGGACGCGGGGCCTAGTCCCGGTGTAGTGATCGCTGGACACGGGCGTGGCCCAGGCCAGCAGGAGGTTGTTCTCCCGCCACCTTCAAGGCAGGTTTCGCGCTGCGCTGGTGGCCCCTAGCCTCGATGGCCCCCTGGGCAGGATCCGTCGGGTCCTGTAGCGGAGCTCTAGTCTCCAGAGACAGAGACTCACCACCTCCGTATTTGTGTCGCCTTCCTTTTCCCCTGTCGCTTGACGTCTTGTTGTTTTCTGGAGCCACGTCTCCTTGCTGCCACCCGTAGGGCCTGCCTGGCTGCCCGAACTTCAGCCTATCTGCAGCTCCGACAGCCCCTCTCCAGCAGCCAGTGCAGGCTGTGCCGCACCAACAGGGAAAGCAGAAGGGATGTCGAGATGTCCTAGAAGGGAACCTGCTGTTCTGGTTGCGTTAAGCTTGGAAGGAAATGAAAGGAGGGATGCCAGGCTGAATTGGAAACATACCTAGAATACACCTTCCAAGTAGCTTTGCTGGCACAAGCACCATGCTCATTTTGCTGGTCTGACTTTGAACAGATGAAATGCTGTTTTTTTCATAAGGAGATGTGGGATACAGGTTTCAAATGCTGTAAAGTTAGCACTGACCACCCACAGATATTTTATTTAACAAGCAACACTTGAATGATTCAAATTGCTGATTGGTGCTTGTACATATTTACTGTGTCTTGTATGTTATAGGACAAGTGTTGGGTAACCAGAATCGGGCTCCTTGGAGTTTATCATCTATAACTGATTTCTTCTGGGCAATAGCAGATTTTGTGGTCTTGTTGTAAGTATGAGTCTCGTTTTTCTTGTGGCATTAAATGTAGCAACCATTTAGTGGCCATAAGGAAATACAGTGCAAAGACATACCAAGGAGCAGTCTAATCCCAGCTCACCAGCAGTGTCCCACAACCAGAGCTTTCCATGTTGTTGTTGTTACCCCCTGCCATTTTAAGTGATGAATTAGGTTAACTGCCCTTGGGGAAAAAAAAACTGTACCAAATACAAGACTCTGTAGAGGAAAAAATATTCTAATTTATGAGGATTCTTACATGAAGCTTAATACACAGTAGCTGATACAATTTGAATATGAACTAGTTACTTCAAGTTTATGCCCTTATGAATGAGTAAGGAGCGTGTACTTTGTTGAAAAGTTTCTGGTCATCAGTGAAATCAGATTATTGACTAAAGTGTTGGACTAATACTCAAGTGTTAGAAGTGCTTATCACATGGGTGGCCACAACTCCCCTTGGTAGCTGCTCAGCCCCTGCTCTGCTCACCTGGGTAGTTCACCCCTCTTAGCTCCTCCTGGGTATGGTCCTGGGGCCCTGACCCTGATGTTGACTTTCTTGTGGCACTGGACCCCTGGCGCAGACTCTGCCTTCCTCTGACCTGCTTATCCCTGGCCCTGTCTGTCTTCTGCTGTGGCCCTTCCTTGACCTTTGACTCTTTCTGGGCCCTGGCCCCTCCTAGGGCAGTCAAGGTATCTGGGTTCCCTGACCCTGCACACCCCTCCTGAGCTATGAGTCACTGACTCTTCCTCTTGCCCCTTGTGACCTATGGATCCCTAGTCCTCCTTGTTCTCTCAACCCTTCAGCTGTAGCCCTGCTCCTTAGCCTTGGGACCCAGCCCCAGTCCCAAGCCAACTGAGAGCTCCTCCACCCCTTATCTCAATCCCTAAACCAGCAGACTGGTTACCCCAATGTAAGTGTTTGCCAGGAGCTTGGTTGCAGCCCTGCCATTCAGGAGTTCTTCACATCTTGGCTATCAGGATCAGATATCTGCCCCAGCTCAGGCTCTGGGCTTATATCTTGCAAGCCCAGCCCCCTTTTGGGTCTTGTGACTCCTGATTGCCTCCTGCAGCACCTGCGACTACTTTACCTGCAGTCTGCCTTCTCTTAAAGTAGAAGAAGCACTAAGCCTCCTGCTACACCGAGTTAGTTCCTAGCTAGATTCTAGATGGATATCTAGATGAGTTAAGTGGTTTTATCACTTCAATTCCAGGTTTGAATCTTATGTACATCCTAGTTTCACAGAGTGCATGGTAAAAACACTTTAGCGCATCAACCTGGGTGCCCATATTTGTCAGGGTTATCATCTTAAATTTAATCTGGAATGATTTTAGCTCACAAAAAAGGAGTTGGAGAACTGCTGGTTTTACTCAGCAGTAACAAGCACCTGAAAGTTAATCTTTGAACACAAGTTGTACTTCTCTGTATAGTCCAGCATGCAGAAACTATTAATTTTACTGGTTAATCTATCTATCCTTTCTCCCATTATTTCTAGTTTCCAGAGTATTATTCAACCAGACTTGAGAAGGAAGGGGTACACATCTTCCTCATATTCAAGATACGATGATGGAAGAGGGTATTGTCTGTCTTCAGTTTTGCATTAGTTTAAGTAATGTAGTTTAATGTAAATGTTAAAGTTGTGGTGCCCTACCTTAACTAAGAACAGGTAGAAAAAAAAATCATGCCAGGAAATTAAGATACACCTGGCTTTCTCTAACAAAAGATCACTTACTCTTTAATTTGTAAGAAATGGTACACTGTGTATTGAAATATGGCAATACAAGACCAAAGATTCAGAGTAACAGAATTTCCAGAACTTATGTAATGGGAAGTATTTTTCTGGTTTTATATAGTGTAGCTCCTTTTTCTTGTAGACTTGTAATTGTGGATCAAACCTGTGATCTGCATGTGGATCATCTCTCACTTTGTTAAAGTGGAGGGCTTATTGGCTTCTGAATCCTTATATCTTTTCAGCAGACTTTCTGGGAGACTTGGAACCAGTTGCTGCTAGACAGCCAAAGGATGCAAAACAGGATTTCCTCATGGATGACCTTTGCCTACAATAGATCCCTGGGGTCTTGCCTTTTTGTGGCAACTACTCATGAGAGGGGGGGCAGAAAAAAAAATCAGAAGTACTCTTCACAAGAGCATTCTTACAGGGATTTTCTTGCCAAAACTTCCTCCTGCAACTTTTCACATGGAGGGAACAATTTGGCTGCTCTTCAGCAGTCAACTATTGATGTACAAAAACCAAGTTGTTATAAGGGCCCATGAACAGTAGACTTATGCAGGTACAAACCATAATAACAGTTTGATATTTTTATTATTTACCTGCCCTCCCGTGATAGTGACATTTTCTTCTGCTCTCTAATTAGGCCTCCAGGAAATCCTCGCCGTAGAATGGGTCGAATAAATCACTTTGGTGGAGGTCCCAGTCCACCACCCATGGCTGGAGGTGGATGAGGAAGGTAAACTTATAGTTTGTTATATCTTCTTTAGGACCCATTTCAAAAGTAATAGGATGAAAATTAAACTTTCCGTTGGAATTTATATCAGTAGCAGAACACTTTTTACAAAAGTTGCAAGAAGAAATTGAGTCAAAACAAATGGAACTGAAAACTTAATGAGGATGTAAAAAGGGAAATTTCATAAATTTGAGTTCTGGTTGACTGATCAGTAGGGACCAACAGCTTCCGTTATTTAATACTTTTCTGTTACCTTTTGTTGCCAGTCCTATGCTTATTCTGTGGAGCTATAGGGGCTTTCTTTTTTCTATTTATGTTATGGAGTCATGTTTTAACTTGGTTTAAACACGTTTTTAGGCTGTAATGTTTTCTTACGTGCTCCTTTTTGTACGGTGACTCTGGCCAGAGGACCTGGGGGGAAAAAAAGTGCTCTGACTGGTAGTTCACTTTTTCTTTTAACTGACACGCATAAAAATCCTGCATGTGTAGGGTTTCTGTATTCTATTAATACTCATTATCATTAAATTGCAGTACAAGTTTTAAAAGATAATATAGCATGAAAGGTTTTTACAATTTTGTCTCAATTTTTGTGCTGTTATATAATTAAAATGAATTTCATAGATTTTATAGACATTAGAGCTGGAAGGGACCTCCGAAGATCGAGTCCAGCCCCCCACCCAAAGGGCAGGCAGTCAGCTGGGGTCATAAGATCCCAGCAAGATAAGCATGCAATTTGCTCTTGAAGGTGTTCAATG